TTGTTATAAAGAAATATTTCATGTTTAGTTAGAATCAAAAGTTCATTAACAATTCGAACTTCTGATCCTCTGGTGCCATTTTGCTAAATCTCATCGTAAGCAAGAAAGATGAAATCTCCTTTCAGTGTGTGACTGACTAACCTTAACCCATGTTTTCTTTTTTTTCATAAGTAGTGTAAGGTTTTAATTAGCTTTCTCATCTTAGCTCTATTTCTTCCTTTATATGAATTTTGAGAGTACCCAATCCACTAACGATAATTCACAAAGTTTCTGTCATGACTGAAAGAGAACAGAAACCTCACACAAGACCTACGTGCAGTTATGTACATATTTGAATGTCTTTAAAAAGTGTATAAAACCTACTGTTCCAGTTGTCAGCCCATGATTTCCTTTGTCCAAAACACTCAAACAGTCCACTCAACACGAGAACAGATCATGAGCGCGGTGAGCACAAATCCGTCTGCATTCTACTTTTGGATCTTCAAGGCGCCAGTGCGATGGAGCCTAACCAAGCATGACCCACCACTTAACCAACACAGGCCTCCAGGGAGAGGAGCAGGAGGAGAGTTTGAAAACACTTGGAATGGTTCAAGCCTGTGTCAACGTCGCAGCACTCCAGCTGTGAGTAGCTTCACTAAAGCATAAGTGCAGCCGGTATAGGGTCACTATCATTATCAGCCACTGTCAAGTTGTGGTCACTCACGGCCCCTACACACTCACTGGCCCTGTATACTCACTCCCTACATACTCACTCCCTACACACTCACTCCCTACACACTCACGGCCCGTACATACTCACTCCCTACATACTCACGTCCCCTACACACTCACAGCCCCTACACACTCACGCCTTACACACTCATGGCCCCTACACACTCACGGCCACTACAAACTCACTCCTTACATTCTCATGCCCTACACACTCATGGCCCCTACATACTCACACCCTACACACTCACGCCCTACACACTCATGGCCCCTACACACTCACGCCCTACACACTCACGCCCTACACACTCACGGCCCTTACACACTTACGCCCTACACACTCACGCCCTACACACTCACGCCCTACACACTCACGGCCCCTACACACTCACACCCTACACACTCACTCCCTATACACTCACGGCCTACACACTCACGCCCTACACACTCACGGCCCCTACACACTCACACCCTACACACTCACGCCCTACACACTCACGGCCCCTACACACTCACGCCCTACAAACTCACGCCCTACACACTCACAGCCCCTACACACTCACGCCCTACACACTCACGGCCCCTACACACTCACACCCTACACACTCACGCCCTATACACTCACGGCCCCTACACACTCACGCTCTACACACACTCACACCCTACAAACTAGAGGGCCCTACACACCCACGCCCTACACACTCACGCCCTACACACTCACGGCCCCTACACACTCACACCCTACACACTCACGCCCTATACACTCACGGCCCCTACACACTCACGCCCTACACACTCACGCCCTACACACTCACCACCCCTACACACTCACCACCCCTACACACTCACCGCTCCTACATACTCACGCCCTACACACTCACCCCCTACACACTCACGGCCCCTACATACTCACGCCCTACACACTCACGCCCTACACACTCACGCCCTACACACTCACGCCCTACACACTCACAGCCCTTACACACTTACGCCCTACACACTCACGGCCCCTACACACGCACACCCTACACACTCACTCCCTATACACTCACGGCCTACACACTCACGCCCTACACACTCACGGCCCCTACACACTCACACCCTACACACTCACGCCCTACACACTCACGGCCCCTACACACTCACGCCCTACAAACTCACGCCCTACACACTCACAGCCCCTACACACTCACGCCCTACACACTCACGGCCCCTACACACTCACACCCTACACACTCACGCTCTACACACTCACACCCTACAAACTAGAGGGCCCTACACACTCGCCTGCTCAAAGTCTCATGTCTGACCACACCAGCCACAGAGGATAAACACAAGCGGCGGCACGGTGGCGCAGCGGTTAGTTTGTGTTTCACAGCAAGAAGGTCCTGGGTTCGATTCCACCTCTGTGTGGAGTTTGCATGTTCTCCCCATGTAAGTAAGTAACTGAGAATATAAGATCCATCACTTAATGCTGGTTTACCTGTAAAAGTACCTGCAATAGATGGCACTCCTCATTTCTTATTAAATGGTTTCTTAGAGAATCAAAAACAGCTGCAAGTAAATGACAGAGTAAACAACATGGTCAGAAGTTGTGAAAAGTAATTGTACATATATCCTGCATGTAACATGTTTGCACATTTCCTCCCTTTGCACAATCTGAGTGTCTCTATCCATGCCAAATGTGACATGTAAATTTCTCCTCTGTGAGATAAATAAAGCAATCTTATCTTATCTTATATAGTTTACATTATATTGTTCTTTACTTACTTTGTTGGCGATGATAAAAACAGCTGCTTTATACGTCTGCAATGTCAGTGTTGAGGAAGGCACCAATCCATAAGGCAGTAATTAAAAGGAACATGTTGAGCTAATTTCTTCAGCATAATCATCTGGGATCAATATTGAGCTTTTGTCTGTATGGATTATCACAGTGTCACAGGCAATAGCACAGTATTTAGTTAAAAACATTCTCCAAATGCAAAATGCTGTTCAAAATGTAAGTCGTATCATTAGCTGAACTGTCTCTGGAGCTACATTCATTTATCAGCCGCGGGTGTAGTGACCTTCTATGTATCCCTCAGAGATCGAATCTGTTTGGGAACGTCATTCTGTTTACTCCTAAATGTTAAGCGCTGAAAACAAGCTGTTTTTCATTTCAATTCTGCTCGGATGAATGACGGTCCCCACACCTGTTGTCATATACTTTCCCATCCAGGGTGGAATTTAGAAGATTGCCGTGGGCCATGGATTACAGTTCTTGTATAGGCCTTTAGGTGAGACAGTCAGACTTAAAAAGGAAGAAAAATGGTTGGGAGCATTGGCACCAGCAATTTAGTTCAGTGGAGTGCTTTGAGGCCATTTGGCAGAAAAAAGGTTCAGATCCTGCATGAATATTTTGGCTTTAGAGACTGAGAGTTTCAGTCCTTGTGCGCTCATGTTGGGTCAACTTCTGCTTTTGTTTTTCTATAGTTAGAAATACCAATACTGAGATGTAAAACAGCACCCAAATATAATTATCATTGCCAATGATATTATATTTGGGTGCTTTTTTACATCTCAATATTCATTAATGAATTCTTAACAATAGTTTGCTGATTTCAAGCATGCTCCCACTTCATAATGGTATATTATTACATTAAAGTGCAGAGATTATACGGATCAGAGAGGTTTTGTGTGTTTTCTTTCAGCCGTGACCAAATGAAACACCGTCAGAGAACATTAAAAGGGGAGAATTTGTGATGTAACAAAAGAATAGTGTGTGTGTGTGTGTGTGTACTAGTACTAGCTGCAGTAAAAGCAATTTTTTGTTGAATTGCTGCAGTATAAAGTTTACACAAAGATACATGTATCAAAATAACTTTGAGTCTCAGGCTTTAAAAGGGCCAGTGTGTTCGGCATCTTGTGTCTGTGGAGTGTGGAGTGAATGGAAAACGTTGGTATACTGCAAAACATTGTAAAGTGCTTTGGGTGACCTTGGTCCGTGAAATGTGCAATACAAATAAAGATTACTTCCATACTTCTAAGACTTAATACTAAGGGATTGCAAAAATCCTGAATGCTTTAATTTTCAGTCAGAGTCTATCTTTCATCTAATTTGAACATAGCCAACGTATTCCTCCATGAAAAAAAGGCAGGAGTGATGGAGATGAATACATTCAAGTAGGTCAGAGTCCTGGATCTATCCTGTCCGTCTGTGGGAGCAGATCCCTCTCAGCTTCCTCAAGGGTTCTCACTTGAGGAAGCTCACATTTATGAGCATGCATTAATATTATGGACATTGGTCGTCCCGCCCCACATGGACCAATGGCTCCTATGTTTATTGTTTTGGCATTTCCTGTGTTCAAGCTGTTTGGTTCTCTGACCTGTTGTTATGGAATCAAAGACCTGTACTGTTGTGATTAACGGCTAAAAAAGAAATGTAATTGAACTGAATGATGGGGTGAAAGTGGCTCAGTTGGTAAAGCATTGTCTCTGAACCTAACGGTCCCCCCACAACCCCTGTCATCTGCTCCCACTGAAGTCTGCTGTCGGTGTGCCCCTGGGCAAGACACTTAACCCCACTTTGCCTGAATCACCCCTGAAACACCAAGGCTGTATCTTCACTGAAGCAGCAGCCATCACCCTGTGGACCTACCACCTGCAGAGGACCAGCGAGGGGCCGATTCTGTGTGATCTGTGTGGCTGCTCTGATTGCCGCACAGAGCTGCCGCACAGATGGAACAAAAAAAAGAGGATGAAAATGACTTGACATGACTTGAGTGACCGTTTTGTCATTGCTAACGTTACTCCTTCAGTGCAGTGCCAAGTGTTTGTGTGTTGCACTCTTTTTGCCTCAGAGGAATCTGTCTGCTGCTAATTCTGATGAAGTAATCTACGACTCCTGTTGCTGCTGCAGCGGTTACGCACTAAATCATTCTAAACAGCTTTGTGGACCTTTTGGACACCCCCACCACCCCATCACCCCACCATCCCACCACCCCATCAGCGCCACAAGCTGCTGCCTCGATCCTCGGAGCGCATTGAGTGTCCACAGTAAAGACTGTTTTAGTTCATCAGACACGGCTCCCCACACGCATGACCACTCTCTCTCTCTCGCTCGTTAATTATGCAGCCCTATTACTTTGCATTCTATTCTAAAGTAAACAATTGTAAACGACTTTTTAGTATTATGCTTGTGCGCATGTGTGTTACCTTGTGACCTATGTTTCGCGGGTTTTGGTCCTCTATAAATAAATGGGGACCTCACTTTTTGGGAGTCTCCAACTACAATTTGCCTCTTTCTGTGTCTCTCATCCTTCTCCCGTTTGGTACGCTACATTGGTGGCAGCGGTGCCGCCGTCGCCACCTGAGTTGATGTAGGTGGTGGCGGCGGTGACGAACATTTGTGCCTTGCTTTTTGTACTTTTTTGGTGGGTGAGTCTGACCTGACGGTGCCAGTCGCCATTATGGTCTCGCCAGATTTTTGTGTTGATGTGGGACTGGAGTGATGGTGTGGCCTGGGCTCTTCTCGGCTGGGGTGACTGTAAAGGACTGGTGTGACGGAGTGCTGCCGCCGGGGGAGACGTTCCAGTACCAGACTGAGCATGTGGCTCGGGGCCGCTGATGTCCAGGATCAGGCCGTGACATGTGCGCATTGGTGCCCGAATCCAGCGCCGTCCCTCGGGAGCCACAGGAATGTGGTTATGCCTGTTGGGGTGCCTGCTGACGTGTGTGTTCAAGAGCCTGTAATTCTGATGTTCCCAGCGCGTCCTACGGTCCCGTGTTCTGGACGTTCAGTTGATTTCCTTTGCTCCGGTCAGGGGAATTCGTGCTCCGGTTCTGCGCCAGTCGTCTACCTGCTGTCCAGGCTGCTGCAGGATCGCCAGTGTTTGGTTCTTGGAGGACGCTGGGACTTTGATGCTGTTTTGTAAATTTTTATGTGTGTGGTGCATTTTTTTTTTTTTTTTTTTTTCAGTTAGACATGCGGACATGTCTTGTTAAAGGGGGGAAGTATGTAAACGACTTTTTAGTATTATGCTTGTGCGCATGTGTGTTACCTTGTGACCTATGTTTCGCGGGTTTTGTTCCTCTATAAATAAATGGGGACCTCACTTTTTGGGAGTCTCCAACTACAATTTGCCTCTTTCTGTGTCTCTCATCCTTCTCCCGTTTGGTACGCTACACAATGCTGCATTTTTAGTTATTTGAGGAAATGGGATAGAATCCACGGTTTAAATTATTTTCTAAACCCTCTTTATTTTTTTCTCATGATAGGATATTATTAATGCTGTCATCTCTCAGAACGCTCCTCCGAGTTTGCAGATTTCTCATTAACAGCACTCCCTCTCCCTCCTCTCTCTTTCTCTCCCTCTCTCTCCTTCTCTCTCTTTCTCTCTCTCTTCCTCTCTCTCCTTCTCTCTCTCTCTGACTGTCGGCAAACTCCGTGGCAAAGCTCAAGTCCACTTCGAGACTCTGTGTGGAGTGTGCGCGCCTCTCCAAAATGTGCCAGAGCGAGTCTCCGGTCCCCAAATCTCGACTGACCGAAGCCGGGACGCTCTTCCTCAAACACACGACTCTCCATGGACTGAGACACATATTTCTGAGCGGTTCGTATCCGCGGAGACTGGCTTGGCTGCTGGCTTTCCTCGCTGCCCTGGTCCTGCTCTTCGCCTGGTCCTCGAACCGTGTGCGCTACCTGCTATCCTCCCCCGTGCACACCAAGGCGCACATGGTTTACGCAAAGAGACTGGTGTTCCCCGCGGTCACCATCTGCAACCAAAACCTTCTCCTGCCAAGACGCATGAAAAAAACAGACATATTCAGCGCGGGGAGGTGGCTGGGGCTTCTGGGCAGGAACTGGCAGGTGTCGCCCGCAGCCCGAGAGGCTCTCAGCGGTGTGGATGGAGATGCAGATGTGGGGGGAGAGCCGCCCTGGTCGCCTCTCTCTCGGATATTGGACTTTAACCACTTTTTGCCACCACCACGGGAGACCCAGCCGTCCATGCGTCAGCTGCTGGACAGACTGGGGCATCAGCTGGAAGAGATGCTGCTTTCCTGTCGTTTTCAGGGCGAGCTGTGTGGCCCGAGGAATTTCAGTACGGTGAGAGATCTGTGTTGTTAAAGTTGGTTTGGGTGATCTTTACGCGCGCGTTTTTATCCACTGTTTCGTGGCGGCATGTTGGTAGTGTGGGTTGATACATGCAGTTCCAGGATCATAACATAGTCTGTGAAAAGTGTTTTAAGCCTAAGTAATGGAACATACGAGAGATATACTATGTTGTCTACTAAACTTGATTTCAGTCTTGGTTTAAAGGTGCTCTCTTTGGTCGTGGGTTCATTTTCTTGCTCATGAAAATGCTAATGCAGGAATAGTCCACTGTCAGGTATAATTTTAGGTGTATTTTACTATGTTGTAAATTATAGATATATCATTGCAAACTCCTCCTATCTCCTTGCCATAGTGTGAGTAATGTTTGATTCTGTCTTTAAACCTATGCCTTTTTTGAGGGAAAGAGAAAAATAGGACCTGAAATAGATATATCTTTTCACTGTGCATGCATGGCTGTGAACAAGTGTATTGTCCAAATTCTGTTGATAAAGAAACCAATTACAATACTCATTCAACTATCACTTCACAAAGACATATAGATTGTTTCATTATAGGCTAAAGGCAATGCCATGAAACCCATGTGTGTGTGTGTGTGTGTGTGTGTGTCTGCTGTGTCTAATTATTTCCAAATATAAAACTGTATAGATTACCCTCTTAAAGCTTTGTGATGCTTTTGTTGCTGCCCTATAGCTGTAGCTCCTTCATCTCTATTGGTTGGGTTTGTAATTGTACTGTAGCTATACCCATCTCATTTTGTGTTATCAATGCCTGACACTAGCTTTCCCCCATTAAACACCCAGGCCACGAGGTGAACCATTAATAATTGCCTGTCAGTGTGTTTTATAGAAGCTGCTTATAAAGATCTTAACCTGTAGAGTAATTAATAATTTGCCTTGAACTGGTGAAGTCACCACTGGCTGCATGCATACGTTTTTTTGTTTTTTTTGCCCGACTGTTGCCTAGTGCTGGAGAGTTTAAAACCAGGTGGACCTCCCTATCTGGGAAAGTACATCGGCATCGTAACTCTGCAGGCACTTAATGCACTTGTCACAACATTGGACCTGAGTTTTACTATATGCAATAAAGCACTGGGGGATTTTGAGTTTGTTCAAGATGCTGAGTAATAATCGTGTTGAAAACATTTGTGTCTGCAGTGCTACTCCTGCATCAAAGCAAGACGGTTTTGGATTTTTTAAGTTGTGTTTTCATTGGGGATGCATCGGCTGAACATCTGTATCGGTCGATGTTTGCCTTGTTAACTACCATTGACGAATAATGATGACATGGGCCGTTGGTAGGCACTTGTAAAGAGACACCAGTAGAGGGCGTCTGCGCACTTTCTTCTGTAGAAACAACAAAGAAGATGGAGTCGGTTGTGTGGCGATATTTTACAGTATCACTAAAAATATCTGCGTTATGCATGAGGCGTTGTACAGCGATTGCAGGAAGCTGAAGGAAAATGGAAACCTGAAGCCACCAATAATTATATGTTTATGCAAAAAAACATTAAGATAAAACAACGGCCAAGTTGTTTTGTTAGACATCGGGATCGGCCCAACATTGACTTAAAGTTATGTTATACTTCATTGTCCCGTGGGAGGTTTACTTGCGGCCAATTATGGTAAATTTGTAGAGATGAGATTAGATGAGTGAACGCACCGAACAAGTGTACTCTGGTCTACATATTCATATCCAATTTTAAACAGAATTTATGAATACTGCTGCTTTTGTGAACCCACCATAACTCAGCGTTTCAAGTCCCTCTCCCTAAAACCTTCAAATCATGTCAGACTTGAATTTTAATAGCCACATCATATCAGTAACCTCATCAACTTTTTACCACCTTAAAACATTTCCAGGATCAAAAACATAGTGTCTAAAGCAGACTTGGAGATTCTTATCCATGCATTTATGCTGCTAAAATCTGGAACATACTTCCTGAAAATGTGAGACAGGCTTCTTCTCCGACAATATATAATTCCAGGTTCAAAACAGTTTTGTTTAGCTGCTACAACTGAGGGATTTTATATTTTTTATCTTTTTTTCAATGTCCTGTGATTATTTATGATTTAAATGCCTTTTGTGACTGTTTCTATCTTGTTTTGTGCAGCACTTTGAGTGGGCTTGTGTATGAATTGTGCTACACAAATAAACTTGCCTAGCCTGTTTCACATGAGTTTGAGAGCAAAATACATACAGGTGTCCGTAACATAAAATCAATTTTAATATTTTCTACATTTTAAGTTTTTCTATTCTTTTCTGTGGATTTGTCTCAAGTAAAGATTAGGGTTGTCACGATTTAAAATGTTTGAGTCACGATTATCGTGAGAGAAAATATTGCGATTTTACGATTATTCACAATTATCAACGTTATGAAAGAAAATAAACTCAGATCGTTTGTTTTTGCCTTTGCAGGAGTTTATTTAGCCTAAGTGTTTTGTAATTGCCTTTATCACAGTTGGAGTCTAGGTGTTATGTCTGCATTTGTTTTGCTGACTAAGGATACGTGCTACTGTCACTTTAAGAGCGGTAAACCGTGCCATCTAAAATCTTTACGGGTTAACATACTGCAAGCTTTTATAACCGTGATTAGCGTAACACCAGTTAATCTCGACATTAACGGTTAAAACACGTTAGGTTTTGGAATTTACAGCTACAAGAGGGTTTAGAGTTTGAACAGAGACGCTCAGACTTCCATCTTCACTCAGACTTATTCTCTAGCTCCTGAGAGACACTGTGTCCTCAGTCTTTTTCTTACGTCGAAGGTAAAGGTGCCCCGTGTAAGTTTTGTTGTGATTTTCCATCAATTTGTCTTCATCAAAAAGATATTGCTTTCCCTGGAATTAAGGTTTTACAACATTTTCATTGCCTCATGTATTAAGGAAAAGCCATCACATTTCGATGAACCTGAAAAGATGTCAATCTTAAATATAATTTTCAATGCATTTTGGGGTTGTGTGTGTGTGTGTGTGTGTGTGTGTGTGTGTATGTGTATGTGTATGTGTATGTGTGTGTCTGTGTGTGTGTGTGTGTGTGTGTGTGTAGGTCACTGTTATTACTGGATATTATCACAGAAGTGTTAGGAAATAGATACTTTATTGATCCATAGGAAATAGTTATTGCTGTTTGTTTGTTTTTGTTAGTGGGTGTGTGTGATGGTGTTTTAGTGATACATTAAAAGCAACAAGGTGTGTTATGGGCCTTTCAACGGGAGTGCAAATCTTGTCCAAAAACAATCCATAATGCACCTTTTATTGAATATTTCAGCTTGCCAAGTGTCAAAAAGGTTGCAACATGCTGACGTCAACGAAACATGTTTTTGTATAACCGTGTTCAGCTGATCTTGTTCCCTTCCGTCGTACACCGCGTCCAAATCAATGCGCCCTCATTAGGTCTGTAGGGGCCAATCATACATTAATGAATTTCAGCCCTTACATCTCCATATTAACTCATTGACTGCCATTGACGCATTTATCTTCTGTCAAACTTCCCTCTATTCGACTGGAGATTACAGGAGAACAAAACTAGCCAGAAACCAACTTCTTTTTGCTGATGAAATTAGACAGTCCAATCTTTGGTTGGACAGTCCAATAATTCACATAATCATAGCACACAATTTTCTTTGGGTCTTGAAAATCAGTTAAATCATCAAAAACGGCTGGCCAGTCAGTTTAACTCTGACGTAACCATGGTGACGCTTCAGATTAATTACTTCATCATTATTCTTAAAACCTGACTTTACATTAGGGCTGTGACAAACAATTATAATATATTCTAGCGATTGTTCTTTTGATAAATGAATCTACAGCACAGCATTCTGAATTGTACTGTAATGTAATGTTTGAGGAAAAGCTTGTCTCAAAACAAGTCTCTGCTTATTTTTTATTTGTATCTTTTTGTGTCATATTTATCCTTCATAGAATCTGGAATTGCTGTTCAAGTGATGTAATTCCATGTTTTCTTTAATATTTGTTGTGGATGAAAAGAAATGTTTGCCAAAATTTGGACTCAAAGTCAAATCCTTTCAATAAACAGACTTTCTTTTTTTTTCATATAAAAAAATAATCCTTGAATGTTTTTTTTCAAGCGGCCTGTTATTTCATGTCTACACAGTATTCTCCATCACTCAAAAACATAACAACTGTCCCACCTCATTACCCAAATGCACATTGAGCTCAGTGGGTTTTCTTTTTGGTCTGCGAAGCCCTTTCATTTTCAACAGAAACAACTGGAGGTTATTAGCTGTTTCCAATTCACTCGTCCGACCTTGATATTCACCATCCTTTGTCCTGTTGAATCCCAAATAGTTTTATCTAAAGCAAAACAACTTAGTAGAGCTGCTGTCAGTAAATACAAAATACTTTATGGGACTGTGGTGATAGGTTCTATATACATATTTCCAACATTTGAGTTTCATTTTCAATTTGATTGTGTTTGAGTTTTAAGACAAGACATGAATATTCAAATGAAGCAGACTCATGTGCGGGGGTGAAACATCTACAAATGGTGTGAGGCGTTGCTCCTGAATTGAGAAGAACAATCTCAGTTCAGGATCAAAGTTGTCAAATTTAAACTAAGCCACTGTGTCTTTGCGTTCCAGGAAAATGGAGGGTTTATTATTTCCCACTTGAAATTACATATATCATATAATATATTAGAACTACAAAAATCATACATTACCGCAACATTTGACCAGTTATTGACACCACGACATAAACGTGCTGAAGGAGCATTTACCCAAAAATGAAACACAATTTGGAATTTTGTGAAAGACCTATTTTCACAATCTCTGTTAATCAATATGTCGAATGGTGCATCGAAAATTATATAGTCCCAACGTTCAGGTTTTAGCACGATCGTGAGGGACTAATGTGTAATTAATGACATTATTGAAATGTTCCAATAATATATTAAGACAATAAATTGTGAGAATTCCGCACACTCTTAAAATGCATCTCTTTTTATTTAAAACAATTCTTTTGTTAAAGTCCCATGGCCATTTTTTACACTTC